AGTGTGATACAAATATGAAACCCTAGAATTGTGTACCCCTTAGTATCTAACCCGCTACAGCCTACACAGGCTAGATCATATAAGTCTGACACACCCCCATAGGCAAAGTGGGGGAGAACAAGGGGTCACAAGACCAGTCAAGCAAAGCAAAACAAGCTCAGGGCGGATCACAACGTCACCACACATTCCGAGCACAAGTTCAAGGCCACAGGGCCAGTTCACATGCAAGATCATATATAAAGGTAAACAAGCAAGTGCAGGTATAGAAAGATCACAGTACAAGCAAGGTCAAGAAGTGAGCAAGTGAGGCCAAGTAGGCACAAGACCTAGCATCGTACAGTAGCGCTGATGATCACAAGGCGGAAGTGCCTTGTGTTATAGTCACAATAGGCTCCAATGTGCCTAAAACGAAAGATAGAGTGCACAGTCGGATTTCTTCACAGCGGCTTCAAACGTTCATAGCGTTCTGGTCACAAAAATCAAATGACTTGATTCAACTTGGATCTGGAGCGTCTTATTCTCGCCTACAATAGGCAATTTAAATCGCACAATTTGACCAAGTATTGACGACACAGCGTCGGTTTGAACGAACAGCACTGTGGCAGCCACTATAGTCTTAGAACAAAAAATAGGAAGAGATATGAAGAGTTACGAGTTGGGAATGACTCCCAGCTCCTACAAACCCCAAGAGCCGAGGTACAGTGATGTGGAACAGTGCCACACTGTCCCCAACCACGAAGGGTCTCGAAACTACCCTTCACTAGGGCCTACACCAAGTGAAATGTTACACTACACAAAGTAATGTAACTATCTTCAATATCTTGAGGTGTACCCTTTTGGCGAACTTTGAAATCACTTGACGCTTGATACCAAGGCTCGGGCTCTTCATCACAAACTCATCCTTGAGTTCTTGATGGGTTTGCTGCATACACCTGCGACACACCGAACGTTCGACACAGGACAAAATAGAAACTGCGCACGACAAAAATAGAAACCGCGCGCGAGACACAAACGACCGCGTAACACGCGTCTAGCGATAACTCGCTATTGACTCAACACACACACTCGACATCATGACTCAACATTCACACACAATTATAAGCATGAAATATATATTATCCCATGCCCACATACCATTCCATACACACACACATGCACGCACACGGCCAACAAGCCGAGTGCAAACCGTAGGGTTGCACCAACACCTTGGTAAAGATATCAGCAGTGTTGGCCTGAGAGGCTACGTAAGCAAGGCGTAGCTGACCACGCTGCTGCAGCTCACGAGCAAGGAAGTAGCGAAGAGCAATGTGCTTCGTTCTGTGCTCGAGTCTGTGCTCCCGACACAAGGCCAGCATGGCCTTGTTGTCAACGTACAGAACTGGAGGAGAACGAGGCGGCTCTCCTAGGTTAGACAGCAGGAAGGTGAGCCAGCGTAGCTCTTGTGCAGCCATGGCCCCCGCGTAGATCTCAGCCTCACAGCTGGAGCCGAGAACAGAAGACGAGCGGGTAGACCGCCACGAAACAGAGCCGGAACCAAGGCTGAAGGTGTAACCCTGTGACGACCGCTGCGTAGCCTGGTCGTCAGCCCAAGAAGCGTCTGCGTGACCTGTGAGGACCACTGTACGCCGCCCTCCAAGCACTAGCCCCATGCCCGACGTACTCCACAAGTAGCGCAACACCCTCTCCGCTGCAGCCATGTGCTCTGGTCGGTGTCTCCTAGGAGCAACATAGCGTGCCAAAATGCTAAGAGGGTATGCAAGGTCAGGTCGAGTGCAGGTCATCAGGTACATGATGCAGCCAACAAGCTCTGGGTACAGGCCACTCGGCTCTACGGACTCATCCGAAGGCAGAGCTGAGAGCGAGTGACGAGTAGACAGAGGAGTGGCCTGAGGCGAGGAGTACGTGAAGTCGAAGCGCTGAAGGACCTGCTGCACCATGTGTGACTGAGTCAGGGTAATGGTGCGCTGTGCTCTGTCCCGGGTGATCTGCAAGCCAAGGTAGTTGCGCAGTTCACCCAGGTCTGTGCACGTGTGTCTCTTCTGCAGCTCGGACTTCACTTGGGCGAGTCCAGCAGTGTCAGCAGTGGCAAAGACCAAGTCGTCGACGTACACGAAGATGTAGAACGGCGGCAAAGAGGTGTCGGTGCGCAGAAACAGCGACGGGTCGGTAGTAGAAGGAGCAAACCCAAGAGCCGCAAGTGTAGTCCTCAGTGTGTCGTGCCACTCATGGGGCGCCTGGCGGAGACCGTAGACTGGCCGCCGGAGGCTCCACTGGGTACCAGGAGGAAACGACCCAGTGAAGCCAGGTGGGCGACGCAGCCAGATCTCCTCGTGCAGGCTGCCCTGCAAGAAAGCTCTGCTGAAGTCAAGAGAGTGAAGCTCGTAGTCGCGCTGAGCGGCTATGTGCAGCAGCACCCGAAGAGTGGTCATCTTCGGGGTGGGGGAGAAGGTTTGAAAGTAGTCAACTCCCTGCCGCTGACTGAAGCCTCGAGCCACGTAACGCGCCTTGAAGACAGGCGGAGAACCCGGCGGCCGCTTCACCCTGAAAATCCACATGCCACTGACGATGTTCGCCCCAGGTGGGGGAACCTCGTCGACGTAGGTGCCTGTGGACTTCCAGGAAGCCATCTCTGCGTCCATGGCTGACTGCCACTGTGAGGAGTAGGGACCCTCGATCGCCTCAGCGTACGATCGAGGAGTCGGGATGTCTGGTGCATCCGGGTCTCCCTCAGGGGGAATCAGCGTGGACACGAGATGAGGCAAAGCAGCAGCAAAACACTGGAACTCCTCCTGCCTGTCCTCAAGGACGTCCGTGCTAAGAGCACACTCACCCCCGAAGGACGGAGGACAGACAGACTCAGACTCAGCAACAAGACTAGCAGAGTAGTCTAGACGACAGCGAGCAGCAAAGTCGACAAGCTCAGCAACCAAGGCAGACGCAGCAGTGGACTCAAAGGAAGGGTCAGTGACAACAGTAGCCAGGAGACGCGTGACAGTAGGACTGGCAGCACGAAGAGAGTTAGACTCCGGGTCAGCAAGAACAGGAAGAGAGGACTCTGCAGGAGACGGCAACGGGACACGCAGAGGAGCAGTGGAAGGACGCAGTGCCATCTGGTGTGTGCCTAGGACCGTAGGAGGACGCGGACGTGGAGCACGACTACTAGTGCGAGCAGCACGAACAGGCGACGCAGGACGAGACGCAGGCTCACGACGCTCAGCAAGACCTCCAGTAGGACCAGTGTAGGGAGAAGGAGCAGGCAGTGGGGAGGCGGGCTGTAACAGTAACTCAGACTGGACAAGCAGAGGACACTCTAAGGAAGGAGCAGGACTAGCAGAAGGCGGGAGACCAAGAACCTGCTCAAGGAGCGGAACAAAGTACGGCCGGGGCCGTGCAGCGCCTCCAGAACCAGCAGGGACAGCACCAGTAACCCCAGCGGCAGCACCAGGGCCAGCAGCACCTCTAGCTCCAACAGCGCCAACTCTAGCACCCTCAGAAGCACCTCCGCCAGCAGCACCTCCAGCGCCAACACCCCCAGCAGCTCCAGCTCCAGCAGCTCCAGTAGCTCCAGCTCTAGCAGCACCAACTCCAGCAAGACCGCCAGCTCCAGTACCGCCAGCAGCTCTAGCACTAGGAGCACCTCCAGGCCCAGTAGCTCTAGTACCTCCAGTACCTCCAGCAGCACCAGCAGTACCTCCAGCAGGACCAACTCCAGCAGCCCCAGCAGCACCCCCAGTCCCAGCAGCTCTAGTACCGCCAGTACGAGCACCTCCAGGACCAATGGCTCCAGTAACTCCAGTGCCGACCCCAGGGTCAGCAGCAACAGTAGCACCTCCAGCTCAAGCAGCACGCCTCCAGCGCTGGGCAAACCAATCGCGCAGCACCTGTGGAGAAGGTAGCTCCCGCCTCGACGAAGCACCCGAAGGGCCCCCAAACCCAGCACCGCCAGAGGCCACACGAGCAGACCCAGCACCCCCAGGCTCCGCACCCCCAGGCTCCGCACCCCCAGGCTCAGCACCCCCAGGCTCCGTACCCTCAGGCTCCGCACCCCCAGGCTCAGCACCCCAAGGCTCCGCACCCCCAGGCTCCACACCCCCAGGCTCAGCACCCCCAGACTCAGCACCCCCAGGCTCAGCACCCCTAGCAGCACCAGAGTCAACAGCTACCTCGACAGGCTCGACTGCGTCTACCTGGGACACACATGACGGGGCAGGACCCTGAGGGGGGAGAGGGTCTACCGGGGGGGGACCTGGTGCAAGGAAGAGTGGCGGCGGGGGGAGGGGCGCAGTGCGGTAGGGGAAGAGACGGTAGTAAGGCACCGACTCGTCAAAGGTGACGTCCTGGGAGGACAGAACACGGCGCGAGGTGGGGTGGTAAAACTGCCAACTAGGCGCGTCAGGGGGGAAGCCAAGGAAGACGCAGGGAATAGCACGGGGGGACAGCTTGTCCGCAGACAAGTCGCGGACAAACGCCCGAGATCCCCAAACACGAAACGTAGACGCATCGCCAACCTTCCCCTTTCACCGCAAGGTGGGGGAGGTCTCTGGCAAGGAGACCCGGGGCTGAAGGTTGATCTGATGCGCTGCGTACTGGACTGCAAACGGCCACAGAAAATGGGGAGGAGCCGCATGGATCATGGACGTACGAGCGACGTCCATGACCATGCCAATGCGGCGCTCAGCAATCCCATTTTGCTGTGGAGAGGCCGGAAACGTGAACGTCTGGCGGATGCCCTGTGCACGACAGAAGGCTCCCAGAAGGGCAGAGGAAAACTCCCCGCCTCTGTCAGAGTGTAGACGCAGAACAGGAAAGTCCGAGCCGAAACTCTCTCTGAGCTGGAGACGATCTGCGCGGATCCAGCCGATCAACACCTCAGCGACGTCACCCTTGCTGCGCAAGGGGAACACCGTGGTGTAACGCGCGTAGTCGTCAAACACGAGCAGAGGAGCAGACTCAGGACCAGACCTGGACGCTGCAGCAAACACCTGACCCGACGCAGCTACCTAATCAGACTCAGCAACCGGAGGAGACTCAGTAGTCAGTGTGTACAGGCTTGACCCCGGCTGACGGGTAAACGTGGCCAAGTGTCGGCCCGTCCGAGCACACATACAGTGGGTCACTCGCTGACTCGCAGGAGTGAACTGGTCAACCCCCCCATCCTGTAGATCAGCACCACTCACCAAGTTCGTAGAGAACGAGGGGAGGTAGAGACCTGACAGGGTGCCAGAGGGGGCCGCCGGACACGGTAAGACAGTGGAGAAGCGGGCAAGGATAGGACCCCCAGAGGGGTCCGCCAGGGAGACCGCAACTGGCTGACTAAGCGGCGTAAGCGTGGTGCGGTCTTGAAAGGAGCGGGAAGCACCCGAGTCAAGGGTGAAGGTGTGGAAGGCCTGCGCCGACGTGGTACCTGAGAGAGCAGACTCACCAGCACCTGGGGCAGCAGACGCACTAGCACCGAGAGTAGCAGCCTCACCAGCACCTAGAGCAGCAGCCTCAATGCCCAGGTCAGGTGGAACACACAGGTAACAGTCACCCTCATCACTAGTAGACACAACATACATGGCAGCAAGAATGGCATCATAATCTAGATCAAAGATAGCAACCCCCGACCTAAGCAGCTCGCCCCAGCGGGGGATCTCAGTGGCGTCAGGGAACTGGAGGCGCCAAGCATCCGTCAGGCGGCCGAAGCAGCGCTGGGTGGTGTGCGGGCCACCGCACGGCTCACTAGTGCGGTCGCCGGTACGCAGGACGTAGGGACAAGGACCAGTACCCCCACCCCGCTGACGCGCAGCGTACCACTCACGAAGCTGCTGGGGGGGCGGGGTCTCACGAGTGCGCTGCTGCTACTGGCGCTGACCACCACCAAAGCCGCCCCGCTGCGCAGAGCCACCCCGACCAGCTCCACCTACGCCGCCGCCACCTCCGCCACCGCCGCCACCGCCTCCTCCTTCGCTCCCACCACCACCGCCGCCGCCGCCTCCGCCTCCACCGCCGCCGCCACCTCCGCCTCCACCGCCGCCGCCGCCTCCGCCTCCACCGCCGCCACCGAAGCCCCCACCCACGCCACCACTCCCACCGCCACCCTCACTCCCTCCGCCGCCTCCACCGCCACCTCCACCGCCCCCGCCAGCCCCTCCAGCGCCCTTGCCCCCCTTGCCCTTGCCGGTGTGGCGTCTCCCGCTAGGGGCAGACGCAGCGCCAACCGACTCGGCGCCAACGAAGTCGACGGCAGCAGCAGAGGCAACAGAGGGCAAAAGGGGGGAGGGGGAGCACCCCTCAAAGAAGGGGGCACGAGGGTCACCACGAGAGGCTCCTACAGCGACTATACTCTTCTCAGCTGCCAGGAGGCGCTCCTCGAGGAGGTCAACGGTGAGTGTGGTGGGGCAAACAGAGAGGAAGTGGTCCTTGACCGAGCGAAGGGAGTCAAGGAGCCGGGTGACTATGTAGTAGAGGGTGATGTACATGGGGGGGGGGGGTTTCTGTTGATTGTGTAGGTGGTTGTGGTATTTTGCTCTAGCTGGTTGTGGGCTAAGGGTTTGGGCAAAATGTGGTGGTTAGACTTGTTGCGGGCTGGAATTGATCTCGCACCCAACAAGCACCAACAAACCTTTGCTATTCACTACAACAGCTTTGGTGTTGCTAGTTTAGCACTGTGGGTTGTTGGGGATTGTTGTAGGGCGAGGGTTGGGTTGGTAGGGTTTGAAAAACTCGTCACTTTTCAGATCTGAACTCTTGCTAAAGCCACTTTCTTGAACTAATCCATGGCTGCCTAGTAATTCCGCCAGGATACACCGTCGCACTTAGATCGCGATAGCGATCGGCCTAGATCTTTGTTGAAAGCGTGCGTTACCATTCTGGAAATTAGAGATTAAGACCTTTCTAACGCGTACCTGCTCATAGTTTAAGGTTACGTGAGCTGCACGCAATGTTCCGTCGAAGTCGGCGGACTTAATGTCTTGTACGCTCTCCAGATTCGCTCGCTTTCCATCAGTGGTATCAGAGCTGGTTAGGCCTGCGACATTCCCTTTTTTCATCATATTTCGAATTGGTTGAAGGACCTCCAGATCTAGGGTTGGTCATGACCCAGAAATTAGATGGCCCTCCTAGGTTCACTGGCTCGGATTTTTCGCTATGGCGGTTCCAGTTTACGCTTTGGCTAGGTATCAAAGACCTAGAAGGCGTTTTGGAGGGATCGGAGCGAAGACCTGAAGCTGATGAAGGAAAGGCATCTACTGGAGTCTCTAGCCAAGTGGGAGAAGGGGCTGGGGGAGCCTCTAGCTCATCCATAACTGGGGGAAGTGGAGGTGGATCAGCAGCATCGCGAACCGGAAGGCAACGGCTTAGTGCGGAGGAGCTTCTTAAGGCACAGGAAGCATGGGACCGCAAGGACAAGCAAGCGTTCCAGTACCCGTGTTGGGCCTTGGAAGGCCAACTAGAGCTCCTAAAGATGCTGATTGACCTGAAGGGCAAGCAAGGAGCAGCTGCACTAGCATGGAAGAGAGTTCAGGATCGACATTTGCAAAAGGGGTTGCTAAGCATACTCACCTGGAGGAAGCGGTTCTACACCATGGAACGCAACTATGGCGATGGGGAGACCATGGTGCAGTATCTCCAGAGGGTGGATGAGTATGTGAGAGCCTTAGAGGAGTTGAACTACACTGTAGATGAGAAGGAGATCATCTACACCGCACTCCAGGGGCTGGACCAAGAGGTGAACGAGGCCCTACTGCAGTACCTTCACCTTGAGCAAGAGAAATGGACCAAGGCCTGGATATGGGAGGTGTTGGTCTCTGATGAGGCTCGCAAACAGGATGCTGGTAGAATAGTTGAAGGGGGAATGGGGGCAGGGGATAGGGCTGCCTCCAAGAAATACCAGCAGCGGCAAGGAGGTGGGGGGAAGAAGAAGGAGCTCGACAAGTGCCTCGTCCCTGGATGCAATCGGAAGCATTCTTGGAAGGAGTGTTGGAGTCGTCCTGATGGCTGGAAGCCTCAAGGGTACCCAGGAGAGGCTCCACCTGTCACTAGGCCTGAGTGGGTGGAGAGGAGGATGAAGAATGGAGCATGGAACAAGAAGGGCAGCAAAGAGAAATCGGCAGCAACGGCGGCAAACGAGAATAAGAAGGGAAAAGAGGACTCATCGGATGATGGTTTCTCCTTCTTATCCTTGGAGAAGGAGACGGCGCTTGCTGGTCGTGTGTTGGCTGACCCCAATCAGCTCATTCTAGACTCTGGGGCAACCTTTGGAATGGTACCTCGGCGCGACCTCTTCACCACCTATCACTCCCTCCCACCTAACTCTAGAAATGTGATTGTGGGGAGCGGAGATACGCTGCAAGCAATCGGCATCGGCACCATCACCGTCATGGGGAAGGAGGGGGAGGTGCTGAATGTGAAGGGTGTGCTTCATGTTCCTGATTTGGCAGCCAACCTTCTCTCATGCTCTCAACTTGCGAGGCAAGAATACATATGCACCTTCACCATGGAAGGTGGCACGGTTCGCAAGGGTGGAGCTGTGGTGATGGAGGCTAAATTAGAGAAGGGCCTATACCTTGTTCCAATTTGTGTGCCTCAGGTGGAGAGGGCACATGGAGTTGAAGCCGAGGAAGCCGCTTGTAGCAGCCGTTGGAGGGACGTGGAGCAGGTGACGGCAGGTTTGCTGCACCTACGCATGGGGCGTGCAGGAAGGCAGCAACTTGTGGAGTGTGTGAAGAAGGGGGAGCTGAAGGGTGTGGAGATCAAGGAGGGTGGTGGGCAGCCAAGCAAGTGCCCTGATTGCACTACCGGGAAGCTGCCAAGGACCTCTTTCCCTACCTCCACCACTCAAGCCTCCGCACCTCTTGAGTTGGTGCACACGGATGTGTGTGGCCCCATGCAAACACCGGATAGGGAGAAGGGCAGCAAATACTTCATCACCTTCTTGGATGACTTCAGCCGCCTAAGTTGGGTTACCTTGGTAAAAACCAAGGATGAGGTGGCCAAGGTCTTCAAACGTTGGATACGCTATGCGGAGAGGGAAGCCGGGGCGAAGGTGAAGATACTAAGGTCTGATCGGGGTGGGGAGTACATGGGGAAGGATCTGGAGTCTTTCCTTGAAGACAAGGGCATCACCCACCAGCTTTCAGTTGCCTACACGCCGCAGCAAAATGGGGCAGCGGAGCGGCTTAACCGGACCCTCATTGACCTTGCCCGAGCCATGCTTGCTCATGCGCAGCTGGACCATACTTGGTGGGGGGCAGCAGTGCAATATGCCAACTGGGTTAAGAACAGAATGGGCAGCAAGGGGCTAGGGGGCAAGAGCCCTTACTTCATGTGGACCAGGAAGGTGCCTAGTGTGTCCATGGCACGAGTGTGGGGGTGCATGGCGCAGTACAAAGTGCCCGACCAGCAACGGAGGAAACTGGATCCTAAGGCACAATGGGGCATTTTTCTTGGGGTGTCGGAGAGAAGCAAAGCTTGGATGTTGTGGAGTGTGGCGGATCAGCGGGTGGTGGAAAGCAGGGATGTGGTTTTCCACGAGGGGCTGAGCTATAAGGGGTGGAAGGAGCATGGTGCTAGTACAGTTGGGAGCTCCCTTCAGGATCCCTACACCTCTTCCATCTTTGAGGGGGCATGGGAGGACCCTGGAGAGGAGGTAGAGGAGCAGCAAGAGGAACAAAAGGCAGCTGCACCTCACCATGAGGAGTCACCAACTGCTGGTTCTACCCCTGACCCTAACGCACCAGCCCATGACCCGGAGCAGCCACAGGAGCAGCAGCAGCAACAAGAGAAGCTGCAGCAGCCACCACAGGAGCATACACCGCCCGTTCATGTGGGTAGGTGGCAGCAACTACTGCAGCAGCAGCTGTCCAAGTCACCACGGTCCCCCATGAAGAGAGTGACTTGGAAAGAGAAGCTGCAAAGTTTGGAGCAGGGGGAGGCTTCACCTCTGCGCCGCACCACACGCATCTCCCGACCACCTGAAAGGTTCACACCAAGTGCACAGTATGCTTGCATGCATGATCATGAGGTGCATGACTTGGAGGAGTGCATGTTTGTGGATGCTGAGGGGGGTGAGCTTGGGCTTGATTTCTGTCTCATGGGTCAGGTGCATGAGCCCAAGTCGGTCAAGGAGGCCTTGTCCCGTCCTGAGTGGGTCGAGTCCATGCGTGCGGAGCTTGAGTCTCATAGGGTGAACGAGTCTTTTGAGCTGGTTGATCCAGCTTGTGTGCCACCTGGAATGGAGGTCTTGAGGTGTCAGTGGGTGTGGAAGTATAAGCACATGGCTGATGGGAGTATTGAGAGGCCTAAGTCCAGGTTGGTGGCCATGGGGAACACTCAAACACGAGGCGTTCACTATGACCAGGTATATACCCCAGTGGGTAAACCTACCACCCTGAGAGGTTCCCTTGGGATGGCAGCATCCTCGGGGTCTCACATCCATCACATGGATGTGACCACTGCCTATCTTCATGGGGTCTTGAAGGAGGAGCTGTACATGAGGCAGCCCCCTGGTTTTGATGATGGGTCCGGCAGAGTTTGCCGACTCAGGAAATCAATCTATGGGCTAAAGCAAGCTCCAAGGCAGTGGTACCTCAAGTTTGACGAGGCGCTGATGGATTTTGGGTTTGAGAGGTCGGAGTGTGACCCCGCCTTGTACCACTTGGTGAGGCATGAGGGCCGGCTGTCCCTCTACCTCTATGTGGATGACATTCTGCTCATGTCTTCAAGCATGGTCTTGCTGGACGAGGTGAAGGGTCTCTTGTCCTCTCGTTTCCGCATGAAGGACTTGGGGGAGGCTAAGTACTATTTGGGGGTGCAGATTGAGCGTGATGAGAGTGGCATCTTGATTCATCAGGAGAGGTACATTCTCAACATGCTTGAGTCCTTTGGCCTTTCTGAGGCTAACCCCGTGCGTACCCCTCTCCCTACAGGGTTCGACGTGCATGCACATGCTGAGGAGCCCTTGCTGCGAGATGAGCTGGTCCAGCTCTATCAAAGTATTGTGGGGTCTCTCATGTATGCAAGCACGACCACACAGCCCCAGATTGCTTATGCAGTGTCACAGCTGTCCAAGGTGGTGTCTTGTCCCAAGGCATTTCACCTGCAGGCTGCTAAGAGAGTGCTAAGGTACTTGAAAGGTTGTGTCAAGTCAGGTATCTTCTACCCCGCACACAGCAAGCCTCAGGTCGAGTTGGTGGGCTTTAGTGATGCTGATTATGCTGGAGATTCAGCTGATCGCAAGAGTCACACCGGCTATGTCTATTGCCTTAATGGTGCAGCCATCTCTTGGTAGAGCAAGAGGCAGCCGGTGGTTGCATTGTCTTCCACTGAGAGTGAGTACATCAGTCTGTGTCAGTGCATTCAGGAGGGTGTGTGGCTGAAGCGTTTGTTTGGGGAGTTTGGGCATGAGTTTGCTGGTGGTGTGCCTGTGTTTGTGGACAACCAGTCTGCCATTGCCCTTGCACAGAATGCATGCTTGCATGGC